CGCGGCCTGTTGTCCAGAGGCCAAGCAGGGAATGATGTGCCAGTTTCCATGGTGCCTGAGTGGGCACCTCGTCTTCTTTGGAGGAATGACCTTTTTTTCTTGGGGGTGGAGAAGAGGGTCTAGTCCTGGTGTCCGAACACCAACCTCTCCAGGCCAAAGGGCGGACATGACACAGGGAAGTGGCTCCCTGGGGACTTGGCCCGGCTGCTCCTGAGGAGGCTGTGCACTGGTTGCCCTCTCCAGAGCTGCCCTGGGCCTCTAGCCTGCCCAGCAGCCCCAGGTGACCACTTTCCAGCCCATCTCCTTCTGGCTTCCACTGTGCGCAACCAAAGAACTCTGACCTGACAGCATCAGTGGAGACAGAAGCACAGAATTTCCCAAACCACAAGAAAAGCAACTGGAGAAAGACATGTCTGCTGAACCAGACCATTACACCATGGGCTTTGATGGTTAGGGCTGACAGGGCCTGCTCCCCATCAGCCCTCGCAAGTGTCACAGGTGGACTTCAGCTCTCCAAAGCTCAGCCAAGCCCACATCAGAACTCCATGCTTTGCGAATTTCCTTACAGGTCAGAAATGTCCCCTAGACACAGAAGCAGCCACCTGACCCCGGAAGACAGGAGCTCGGTTCCACAGAGAAAGCCGTCCAAAGCAGTCAGTCTCTGGGGTGAGAGAAAGGTGTCCCTCAAGCCCCGGTGACCTCCCTCACTCAGTCCTGCTCACCTCCCCGCTCCAGGACTCCCCACCTGAGCAAGGGAACCAAAGGTCCTGGAGAATCATCCTGATAACTGCAGAACAGCTTTCTACTAATGCCCCAGAGGCCAGTGGTCAGGCAGCCTGTCCTGAGCCGCTGCCGGGATGTCTGCGTGATTCGTGGCTGGGCATCGGTCACAAGTTCTCGCCCCACCTCCACTGTCCTCTTCCTAGAGGGTGCACCTGGGAAAGCAGTGACACAAGGTGCATAGGGGGATACAAGCTCGTCACCCCAATTCCAATCACAGCTGACATCTCGCACCAGGTCCCAGGGAGCCTCCTTTCTTGAGCGCTCAGTAGGTGTGAGCAAGCTTAAGCTTCACCATGACCCTCTCTATCATGTCCTATTTATAAGGGCAAACTGAGGGCACAAAGAATGACCTCGCTAGGCAGGGGGCAAGCCCAGGGAGTCTGGCTGAACCCTCTGTACCACCTGCCTCTCAAAGGGAAGAGAGGGATTGGGCCTGGTGAAGGGAGGTATTGTGCCTGGGGCAAGGAAGAGCCTACATTCTAGCAGAGGAAACCATCCACACACACAAAATAAGAAATACAAGGACATAGACAAGGACTGTGAAGCAACTTTGGAGTGACCCTGAAGAACTTTCTGGATGGCTACACATACTCGGTTATCTTGAGGTGGGTTGTGGTCCCACAGTTATTTTGAGGTGGGTTGTGGTCTCACAAGTGCATACACATGTTTTAGTTCATCAAGCTGTACACTGAAGATAAGGTTAAAAATGTACCAGAAAATAATAAACAGCAGATGTTGGGAGGCACCTTTCTCACTATGGGCCTGGGGGTCAGAGGAGAAGGTAAGGGGGAGGAGGGGTTGCCCACTGATGACAGAACACTCAGTGCATGAACTCATGTCTGGCTTGCCGCAGATGGATACATGCAGAAACACTTACAGATTCGCGTGCCCACATGGCTTAGCACATGGTGTTTCCTTGCTCTGTCAGCTCAGAAGACCAAGAAGCAAAGATACCTCAGCAGCCATGAGCACACTCAGCCCCCAGATCTTGGTTTCTAAAACTATTCTCTAACTAAAGGAACCAGGGCTTCCTTGGGAAAGAGCTAATTGCAGGGCTCAGGCAGAAAACACACAAGATGAGCCAAGAGCATCTTACAATGGCTCAAGTAAGAAAGTTGAATCAGGGCCTCCCTGGTGGCGCAAGGGGTGAGGCACTGCACTATGAAGCAATCGCAGCCTCTGCAGCATGAGTTCCATCCCCGGCCAGCCAGGGAGCAACCCACATGGCACAGCAGACCTCTCCTGTCTTGCCCGCTGCTCCCCCCTCAGCAGTGTCCATCTGCCTGTTCTACTCCCCGCTCCATCTCTGCTGAGTCCTCTCACCCCCCGCATCTCTGGTCTGCACCCCAGTTCTTGTATGCATAAATAAATACATCTTAAAAAAAAAAAAAAAAAGAAAGTTGAATCATCAATCAATCAATCAGTCGGTCCCATGATGACGTCAAAGGGACATAGGAGGCACCTGCAAGTGCTCCCACTGGCCAAAGGTAGAACAATTTGAGCAATAAAGTAATTAAATAGCATTGGACTATAACCCAAAGTATAAAATAACTGCATCCACGCTGCCAGACATAAACAAAGACGAGAGAAGAGACAAATTCCTACAGAGTTCCAAATAACTCTAGCTAGTCTAGCCTCGAGGAGGTAGACAGCGTGACTCCCCACTTCATCCTGTAATTTCCTTCCCAAGAGTATAGTACAGAAAAGGGGGGGGGACCTTAGAAACGTCAGCCGCCCCAGCCAGGTGATCAAGGTCAACCTCACCACACCAGATCATGGTGTAATATGCACCTCTGATACACGACGTGGTGAAAAGGGCACTGGGAGGCCTTTCTCCCAAGACTATAACCCGGGTCCACCCCAGTGCAGTCAGGAGCAAAGCACCCACAAAGTGCCAGCAGAGGGGCATCCGACCACATGCCTGAGGCAGACCTCCTCAAAATTATCAAGACCTCATCAAAAAAAAAAAGAAAAAAAAGCAAAACCTGAGAAACTGTCACAACCAAGAGAGATCTGAGGAAACTTGATTAAATGTAAGGTGGTCTCCTGGGTGGGGTCCCCAAAGGGAAACCAGGGAATGATGTACCGACATGGAGTCATCACTCAGAACAAGTTGGTGCCCGGATGCAGGTGTCAATAGAAAATCATGTCGGTGGGGGTGGGGAGGGCAGGGGAGCGCTACCCATCTTCACAACTCACCCGAAAATCTAAAACTGCTCTAAAATTGGAAGTTAATTTTGAACATGTAACTGAAAATGATGGAATGGCTGCTCTGGACTGGGTGACTACGGGAGGCCTCTCCAAGGAGATGACGGCTGAAAGGAACAAGATGAGAACAGGCAGGACCTAGGGCAGCGTGTTCCCTGCAAAGAACACAGGACACACAGGAGCCCCAAGGAGAGATGCTGCTCACGTGGAGCCCGGCGGAGAAATGTCACCAGGCGCAGAAATGTCATCAGGTGAACCAATGTCACCAGGTGGACAGCTCGGCCCAGGTAGGAAGGTCACAGGTGACTTCAGCCTTGAATCTAAGGACACCAGAAGGTCAGTGCAGGGAGTTAAACGAGGTGAGGAGGATCTGATCTACATTTTTCAAGATGTCCGACTGCTGTTGGGAGAAGACTAGAAGGGGACAGGTAAGAAAGAGGCTGATGGGGACCCTAGGGGGTACCCTTCAGGAGGCACACACGGAGGCAGATAATACCTGGTAGGGAGCTAGGAATATCAGAGGGTTTGAAGGAAGCTGAAAATAGGGGTCTCCACACTTAAAGGGGGAGAGAAGAATGGCCTCCACTTTGGGGGGTGGGAGAAGAGGGGGGCCCTATGCAGAGCAGCCTCCCGCCCAGTTGACCATCTGTGGCTTTGACCCTTTTGGAGAGGTCTCCACAATAGGGCTCTGGGCCACTCAGGCACCGCAGTGCCCAGGAAAGCAGCAGCCCCTGGGAGACAGCACCTCAGGGGTCCATCCTCTTGTGCGGCTTACAACCTGGGAGGCTTCACAGCAGAGCACCTCAGCTTCCTCATCTGCAAGGTGGGAACAACACCTCCCACCTCAGAAGGGCGTGAGATAAAGCTGCCTGGGCGTGCAGCCTCCAAACACTGACAATGAGAGAAGCCCCAGGTGGAAAGAAACTTCGTATCTATTCCAGCACCCATTTCACAGAGGAAAGCAAGGGTCTGAAGCAGAGGCCACCCCTCCTCTGTGAACACAGCCAAGTTCCCATCTGGCAGGCCAGGCCTGAGCCACAGCCACAGCCAGCCCCACTTCCCGGGTCTGTCTTCACTGTCCAACCCTTAGCTCTGCCCAAAACAACACGCCGTCTTAGGAAAAATCTCTTAGGAAAAATCTTCCAAACAGCTTTGTTGCTGCAGGAGCCATTGGAAGCTGCTCTTTCATGGGGCCCCCTAACTGGGTGGGCATCACTCTCTGGCAGAGTCTGTAATAACCTCTCTCCAGCCCTGCCTACACCACCACCACTCCCAACAACCTGAGGCCCAGGTGTATGCTGAGAGCAGGCAAGCAGAGATGGGTCACAGGAACAGAACCACCTGGGTACACCAATGATATGGAAAATGCTCCATGAGCCATTTCTTAAAAAGCACCCTGGAGGCCAAAGTATGTACGTATATAACAGTTCCCAATGAACAGCACCACACCTCAATTAGAAGACTCTGAAGAGTCTAGGATTCTGAATAAAACATAAATTGTGTCTGTTCTGATGTGCTGGTCCTAAATGCAAACACTGGCCCCAACATTCCAGAAAGTTCCACGCTTCCTTTTCCTATCTAACCAAAACCACTGTTTTCCAATCAAACAGGCCAAGGCTGTTCCACTTCTGCAATTCCAAAGCGGCCTGATATTAATATCAGAAGCCCAGCAGAACTGGAGACTACGGTTGCTTCCAGAACATGCTTTGTTTAAACTGCTGAAAGTCACCCTGCAGAGAGGGAGCCAGCCACCCTCCATCATGATACACACGTAAAATTTACTGTCAGGACAATCCCCGACAGGTTGGGACACCACCACAGACACGCAAGGGAAAGACAATCAAGAGGAGGAGATTTCTCCATAAGTAAGGTTCATCCATCACAGATTCCACATCTCAAAATCAGTGAGGGTTGCAACACAGAGCCACACTCCACTGCTCTACAACAAGAGAGAGAGATTCCAATTTCCTCCTCTACTCGGGAATATATAATACAAGGTTTTTACTCACCTTTGGAGCGAGTAGAGATATCCATGCCCTCTCCCACCTCCTGTTCTGTTTTTATTTCCTCTTCAGCCAAGCTGAAACAGAGCAAATTATGTTCATGTTTAGGTAGACGGGAGGATGTGCCCCATGGGGGCAACTATTTAGAAGTTCTAACAACAAACCCACCTTGAAGACAATCCCCCATCCTCAGGCAGGGGTGGGGGAAAGAAACCCACACTTGGTTCCAAACCAAGTGTTCAGACTCCTAAAGGGTTTTTAAAAACACTGGGTTGTTCTTTTTTTAAGTCAAATTACTATTCCAGTTATCCTGCTGGTGGGGGATGCAAAAGGGCATTTTTTTTAGACACACAATTACAATCTACCCCCTGGACCAATGAAAACCCAGCCTCCGAGTAAACAAGTTTCTCATTTTTAACACCAGTTTGAAGGCAGGCAGGTTGGAGGTGGTTGGCAGGGTACCCAGAGTTCTGGTCTCTGAATTCTGCAAGGCAAGAGTGTTTCCCAGACCTCCCCGCTAAAGACAGGAACATGAGAAATACATAGGATAAATTACAAAGTAGAAAAATATGCCCGGGCTAGAAGCAAAAGACCTGGTCTCAAAACATTCAAGCAACCAGTATATATCCCAGCAAGCAGGGCTGGGGTCTCCATACACCCACCCTTGGATGTTTCTTCTCTGTAGTAGGCATGGCTGAGGGAAAGCATTCAGCACTCTTTTGAGCTGTGACTAATTATCCTCCACCACAAAAAGTGGAATGAGGAAGGATTATTTAAAAGACAGACTGAGAGTTGGGGGTTGGGGAGAGAAGCAGAGAAAACAGGCCCCTTTGCAGAGGGAAGGGCCACCAGAATCTTCTCTCGCTCTGCTGGAATTCCGGATGAACAGAAAGCAGGCCACTTCCACGCACACACCTTCCCAAGCTATGTCAGTCAAGTCCTGCTTTAATAGGTGCAAAATGTTTGAGGTTCTGGACCTTTGCAACCATTTAGTCGGACAATGAAGTGGTAAAGAGTCTGAGCAATTACTCCAGATGCGATTCCATTGAACTGTGGCTCAAATGAAAAGAAATGGGGGCATCACCAATTGATATGGCTGGAATTTTCCATTTTGAAGTCTCAAAGCCAAGGGCAGGGAGGCGGCTGGGTAAGAGGAGAAGGATTAGAATGTCCCTTCTGTGTTCCGTGGCCTGGGACTGTGACAAGACAAAAGATGAGTCCAAAAAGGCTGGGACCTCGGAGCAAAATGGAGATGGAATAGGAGAGTCCCATGTTTGATGGAGGAAGAGGATCCAGGATTGGAAGCAGACAGAAAGGAACAGATGAGAGTTTAGGATTAAATTAGAAGAACTTGGAGACTAACTTCACGAGTCCCAGCAGAGAGAAGAAAGGAAGGGTAGATTAGTTTTAAATCAGAATATTATACATTTAGCTCTCTGATACTGAATCCCATTAACAATTCCATTTATACCGCATCTGGACGGAGCCTGTGACACCAAAGAAACAAATCACCAAAGAAACGACTGACATGTCACAAATGGTTTTCATCACAAGAAAGCAGTCTATTAATTGTAAATACACCCCTAACATGCAATAATACCATGGTGATTCGTTGAAGGGATTTTAGCACCAATACTTTTCACTGCAACTTAAAGAGGAAAACATTCCTAACTCAGAAACATTCTCTGCCTGCAACATACACAGGTTGTCCAGATGGATACTGCTGACGGCTTCCGTTTGGGGTGACTGGAAATAAATCTTAACAAAAGCCTCACGCAGCCCCCACAGATGGGTAGATGGTGAACTTCAAATGAACAAACAGCAACCTTGATCTTTCTAGCGACTAGAATTGTTTCCCTCTCTAGCATAAAGTTATGTGAAATCCTAAACTTCTTGAAACTGATCCCATATTTTGAGTGATGCAGAAAACGCTAATCTGGGATCCAACCAAAACGCACGGCGGTGAAAAACAATTATGTATCACAGAGCCCCAAAACCCACTTGAAGGATTTCTGCAGCGATGAAAACATTCGAAGGTGTATTGATCACGGAGGAGGGCCACATTCAAGAGAACAATTATTTGGCTTGTCACCGCCTAGAGGAGCTGAATGCGCCAGCCAGGAGGAATGCTGCTGAGAGGCTCAGAAAATGCAAACTAGTTAGGTGGTGGCTATTTGCTGTGGAGTTTAAGATAATCAATTCTGCAGCAGGAAAGAGAGGGAAAAGTTAAGCTGTTTTATCTTTCCAAGTATTACAAGTGGGCACCATAATCACCTAACTTAGCAATAGCACCACCAGCTTTAGCCAAGGATTTCAAGCACAACAATTTCAGAAAATCATCCTTTTCACAGATGAACCAACCATCCTTTCAAAGGGAATCCATGCGCACACATGCATGCACACACACCAACTTGTATATGACTAAAGGAAACTGCAGTGTCTATGCATTAAAAGGAAAAAAAAAAACTTCATTTACAAAAGCAAAGCCCAGAATGCAAAATTAGTCATTTTGAATAGCCACATCTAAAGGGACTTCCTTTTTTCTACACCACTGATCTGTTGGGTGTGTTTTTTTTTTTTTTTAAAGTGTTAAGTACTAGAATGGTATTAGGGAAAAAACTATGAACATTACATCAAAAGTGGTGAAGAAAAGATTTGTACCTGTCTGAATGCCCCACAGATCTTGGTCAATTTAGGTTAAGAAGTGTTCATTCATTTTGGAGGAAAGGCAGTCAAATAACAATAATTGTTAAAAAGAAAAAGCAGCTGCATCTGGAGAAAAGACTTTGAACTCTTGTCATTAACACATTAAAGTCTTAGAAAACATACAGCATCTTTCCTTCCTTATCTGCTAGCTTCCAGCAATCCCGTTTATTTAAATCAAAACAATGGAACAACAAGCCCTTGTTTCAAACTGACATTACTTTTTTTTTTTTTTCTCCAGTCGGGGGGCCGCTAAAGAAAAGGGTAAAATAAGCTGAAAAACCAACAACAGCCTCTCACCCCAACAGGAAAATAAGATCATCAACTAGTTGTATACAGTTTCTAATACCACCACCTCCTGCACTCACATTTGCCCCATGCCTCTGGATTTCACAAACTGATACAGTTCAGGCAATTAAAGAAGAAATAACAGTCCTGCAAATAAAACCAAGACCATCCCATCCAGCCCCAGAAAAGAAACAAAAAAGATTTCTCCCCCAATGCCTGAGTAAGAAAACCTATGCTTACTTCTTAACCTGCATGCACTGAAAAAGAGCAATTAAAAGTTGCAGATGAACTGCTGCACCGCCGAGATGTTTTAAGCCTTCTGATTATTAATTCTGAGGACTCAAGGCTGGTCCGTAATTCCCAGGAATCATCACATCCCCTCAACCCTTCCAAAAGAGAGAGAGAAAAGAAAACATCTAGTTTTGACAGGAAAATGCCTGGATACACAATGCCCAGATATTTCTTTTCCCCAAGTGCCCCTACTACTATTTGACTTTTAACCAAGAATAGCCAACCCATCTAGAATATATAACCAGCATGCACAAGTCTGGTTCTACAGCAGATGAGGACCATCGCACAGCAATTCAAGAATCATGCATCATTCCAAAGGACTTTGCCTTCAGCTTTTTACTTTCATTCAAAATACCAAACTGGTCCAGGCTGTAAGAAATATTTAATCCCCAAGACACAACATCTTCCTCTTCTAGATCACAAAATAGTGAACATCATAATAATAATTTAAAAAAAAAAAACATGCTTCCCTAAATCTGCAATTAATTTTCTTAAAAATTGGGGGAAGGGAGAAGGGAATGGTTAGCAGAGCCGCTTTATATAAGCACTCACCTAAAACAGGCAGAGTCATCGGTAGCTAAGCTATTTATGCAGGATTCTTAAAATGGCGTCTGGCAACACTGCCTCATTCCTGTATTGAAGCTAAAATGGTAGCAGTTTGTTCAATAGCTGTAGTTCTTGTTTAAGCAGCCCTGCTAGTTTCAAAGCCACCTTCCTAAATATCAGAAGTAGGGAAGGCTCAACCAAAGGACACCAACAACCCAACGTTGTGAAGCTTAAAAAAAAATCTGCAATGACAGGGGGAGTTTGTGAAGTCACAGGTTCCTAAGGAAAACCCTTCCCTTTTAAGATCCTGAGCCTTCACCATGAGGCTGTGATGAGGCCCCCTGGCCCTGGAATAGGTGGGTGGAAAGTTAGGAATTATGCAGCCCTGTGGCACACGGTGCAGACAGACAGGTGTCGGTGCAGGCAGGAAAATGCTCACAGGGAGCAGGCTGGGGAGAGGGGGTGGAAACCCATTCCCCCTTCTTGGTTTATTAAAATCCAGCTTTGTATCCATCCCTAAAAGGAGCTGGGTGCAATCAGAGTGCTTCAAGGACAACAGGCAGCTGAAAAGTCAGGCGCAAGGGCTGCACCCCAGTCTGAGGCCAAGGTGAAAGAAAAAGGCTGTTTATAAGCCTGCAAACGACCACCAAATACCCAGCCAGTCTCAAGACAGTTAACATCAAGGCAAGACAATCCGAGTCTGCAGAGGAGAAACAACAGTAAAACATTCCCTGAGCCAACGCACAGGATACTCACAAATTAGATTTTTGTCCACCCCCAACAGAGCCCTGAAAATTAACAATGGGTTTGTGCGAAACCAGCTTTCAGAGGCCGAACTAATAGCCTCATGGTGGATAATGTAATTTACTGTTACAGGTCTGAGGATTGGCCTCAGAACTCTGCTGGAGCTGTGTGTGGGGAGTTTCAAGGTGACTGCTTTTTAGCTCCAGGGGAGAAAGGAGGGCATGGTGCCCAAGGCTGTGCCAGGGCGAGGACGGGTGGGTAGGTAATCTTGATGAGGAGGGACAGGCTGGCAGCGCTCGAGCTGCAGTGCTGAAATGGCTCCCGCCTGCTTGTTTATCTGGAAGGAGAGAGTAGGGGGAAGGGCAGCCTAGTCCTAGCAACCTGGAGCCTGGGTGAATCCTTACTTGCTTTTGCATTTGAGAGCCATGGAAGGGCTTCTAAACAGATTCCCTTACTAAATCTCCACTGTGGCTGGCGAAGGCACTCTTACATGTATCTTTTCTTTTCAGGGTCAACCAGAGGCAAAGCCAGCCAGATCTAGGACTTCTCAGCTGACAAATGTTTGTTGCCTCTGCCACAGGAGAGAGAAGAAGAAGGCAAAAGAAACAAAGCGATCACACATTTGACATAGTTGGACTTTTGAAAAACCTACCTTTGCCTTGAGGGTTTTCTGGGGTTACTGTCACCCTGCTTTTTTCAAGTGACTCATTTGCAAACCCCCCACCCCATTTAAGACCTGAAGCAGTTTCCCTACTATTCTCCCAGAGAAAGAAAAGGGGGAATGTTTTGTTTAAAAGAAAAGGGGTTACAAGAAAGAAAGGGGGAAAAAGCTATTGTTTTCATCCCTAATTTATAATCCAAGAGGCCCCCGTTGTTTCTTTCTTTCTGACTCAAATCTTTGAGCTGTTAATTATAAAAGTAACTGGACTCAGCTCCAACAGGCTAAGTACGTTCGCAGCAATTAGAAAAACTCTGTAGAAAGTTTACTGAGTGATTATATATAATTAATTCCTAGTTACAGACGGAACACTGACCATTTTCTGGAGCTAATAAAAGCCTCCCCCTCCCCCACGTGAATGCCACTTAATTTCCCAAAGCAGAAAGTGAATCCATCCTGGAGGGTCTTGAAGGAAGGGGGGGTGTGGGGGGAGAAGGAGACGAATCAAAAGCTCCAGTGTCTCTGTGTTTGTCCCTTGCAGCTGTGCATCCTCTTTGGGGACTTAAGGAGGCAGAAGGAGAAAGGAAAACAGCCCCTGTTCTGTTCCTCCCTCTGCAAATTACAAACGTGGCAGAAAGAACATTCTACTACCTTGATGTTAAAAAAAAAAAAAAAAAAAAGGGCGGGGGTGGGGGGAATGCCCTAGGAATGGAATGCAGGAGACTCTTCGGCTTGGCAGATCTGCTTTTCCTAAAAAGAACAAAGATGGTAGAAATTTCCAGAAGGCCCATTCTCAGTTCGGCCACTGCAATTGTCAATCTGTAACCTTTCCTCCAAGTCTATTGGTTCAAAAGCTGAGAGAGGAAGCCTATTGGGCTGCTGTGTGAGCAGCACTGCTGGCCCTACTACCTAGTCTGGCTGCAATGCAGGCTCACTTTTTACCCTTAGTGAAACTGGAAAATAAGGCTACTTTGAAAGCAATTAACATTTTACAGACTCGTGCTTGGTGGTGGCCACAGTACCAGGGAACTGCGGCTGGCTTGGTCCAGGGCTGGGAACTTGCTGGGGCCGCCCATTTGAAAACAGATCTTGGCTTTGCAAACCTGTGGGAGCCATTTTAATGCAGGCTTTTAAAGGACAAATGCCTTGCCCTTAGGTTTCCTTCCCATCCAACAAACACACCATTATGCAAACGTTGGAGGCACCAAACCAGGAATCTTGTGATTAGATATTGCTTCTAGGGAGGCCACAAGAACCTCAATATGTAATTTCCATTTACAGCCAGGAGATAAGAACAAAGAAAAGAGCTAAGTGTCTGGACTTACTTGTGTGGGGTACTAGCCCTGTTCAGTTTTAAGTACGTAACATCAGCTGCCTGTACTTTTATTCTAAGAGGCTGGACCTGTCTTACACACTTTTCTCAACTGAGAGGTCCGTACATTTCTCCTTATTAAATGAGCCTTTTTCCAATTGGTGCTAAAAGGTGGCTAGGTGGATATGAAAAGAAAAAAAGAGTTATTGACTCAATAAAGTTGGCATAACAACAACTGAATATTTTTCCACCATTTACTGTTATTCTGGATGGGTGTCCAGGCTGGAAATTTATGAAGTGAACTTCCAGGGAAATTCTGAAGGAAACACTGAACAAAAGTACTTTTTTCATCCTTAAGTTCTAGCTCCAGCAGGGGAAATGTAAAAAAGCGAGAAATAAAGCATAAGTAAAGGCAAGCGGGCAAGCAGACGTGTGGGTCTGGCTTGGAAAAAGGCCAGATCTGTAATTCAGTGAGTCCTGCATCAAAGCAAGTTTGGTGGTGAATGGGATTTTGCACTACAGGTAAGTATCCTAAAACATTAAGTGCTGACACCAACACACACACACACACACCAGCTCCTGCCTCACCCATGTTTAAGACTCTTGTGACCCTAGGAACAAGCACTTCAGTTACATTTCACAAACAGAGCACCTACCCAGAGTTCTACCATCCAAACAAACCCAATTAAAAAAAGTCTCTGAGGCAAGTCACAATGAACTAAACATTTCTCCCCAGGTTGAGAGTAAACAGGAAGTGTAATCCTCAATCCTAGCTGCAGGTTATCAGGACAATCGGTGGAGTCAAACAGTCCCCTAAAATCAAGCTACTCTTAAAAAGCCCTTGTTTGGTTCCTGCTAGTGAAAAGCCCCCACTACTTTAGCCAAGCCCCCCCCTATTACAAACAGCCCCCAAATGTTTGCCAAACTATCCGTGGCCACAGAGGAAATGGATGGGCTGCCTTACTTACCCAGCAAATGTTCAAGCCACCGACTCATTTCTCCACAGTTAAGAAGAGAAAACAGGCTGGCAGATTTGGGACTTGATCAAAAAGGAAATTTTTTTTAAAACAGTTACATGGAATTATTAAAAACACACACACCACAACAACACAATCAACAACTGAACATGGAATGCTGTCATGAGCCACAGACATGGTTTTATTTCCTCTGCCCTCTATCACCCAGGAGGGCAGAGGAGGATACAATGTAAAAAAGCAAAAGGAAACTGAAAACCAGAATAAAAGACACATTAGTTCATTGAAAATCATGCAAGAGTAGCAAGCTAAGGGATTCAAAAAGAGTCCTCACAGATTTATTACAGGATGTTGTCCAACATCCCCCCACACACACACCCCCAATCCCCATCCCTACTCCAAAAAACTTCCTCCAAAGCCTAGAAAACACTTTCAGAAACATTTGCTGGCTGTAGGCTGGCTTGCAGAAGAACACTCTGTATCAACAGAAGTCAGGAAAAAAGGCTGAACAATGTAGTTTCAAGTGAAGAAGCCCTGTAGGGAGAAAACAAGACCATGTAGAGACACCACACCACCCACCTAGGCCCCAGGAGCTGGGATCTCTCCCTAGCACTGATCTGCTGAGGGCTGGGTTCTTTTTCAAACACACGTCCTCTCTTGTCAGAACTTAGTCCAGCCTTCCCAGAACCTCTTTGGAGAGGTAAACTTGCCTGCTTTGCTGTGCTGCTATGAGGTCTCCTTGGAGAGGAGCCTGCTTTGCTTACCTTCCATTTTCTTCCCCCAGCAGGCATGTGACACAAGAGAAGACAATAGTGCAGGGGAGGGGGGGGGGAACTGCTCAGAGAAAGAGAGAGAGAAAAAGGAGGAAAAAAAAAAAAAAAAGCTTCTTTTTTGACATACCAGGATCTAGCTTCAAACTATTCCAGAAACACCATGTCCTGGTGGAAGAAAAGGTGTTGCAGGCCCTTGCCAGTTTGCAAATTCAAGCTATGGCTAATGGCTACTTAGCCATGTGACCCAAGAAAGCAAAAAAAAAAATTCTCTCTAAACAGTTCCAAGTTAACCTAAGTGCTGTGGGGGTGAGTGTGGCACGGCCAGCCACAGAGAAATCACACTGCTCGCCCACAATTCGGATGTCTCAGAGGGAGGGGGAGAAAAGATGGTTAAAAAGTCGAGCTTACCTCTGTGGATGCATTGTTAACACTGTGTAATGTCAATACTTATAAAACATGGAGGACAGGCTCCTAGTTCTCACAGAAAAAGGGTTTGGCACTTCGGCTTGATGATCTGGCCGCCTAATAAAAGCTCATCCCCGATTGGCTGCCCCAGCAAATCGGAGTGTAAAGCCGCCCGGGATTGGCTGAAACACTTCCTGAGCGATTATCTTTGTGAGGCTCTGGTGAGCAAGAGCCATCCTGTGCATAGAAAAAGACAGGCTAAGCTAGGCCTTTTGCTGCAAGGAAAACTTGGGAGAGGGGCCCCCAGAAGCACTTCTCCCACACCCTGGCTAGATTTCCCGGCACGGACAAACCAGTGCAGCCAGCCTGACCTGCTCCCGCAGAGCCTGAGGCCCAGATGCCACTGGAAAGAGAGTTTTGGGGGTGAGCTGGAAGGGCTCACCTTCACCTGCCCCCACAGAAGCAGCTCCCTTTGCTAGGAGGGAGGGCTGGCCCTTTTCTAGAACAATCCAGCAGGATCGCCCTCCCTGGGAAAAAGTGAAACCCCAGAGAAGGGAGCCCCAGGAAAGCAGCCAAGAGAGCAAAGAAAAGGGGCTGGAGGCAGGCCTCTGAAGAGCAGAGAGGACAAGGCAGGCAGGCAGGCCCCGAGAAATCGCTGAGAAGCGGCCCAGGCCACAGAGGACTCAGGCTGCTGAGGGGAGGGAGGAGGGGAGTGGAGTGGTCAAGTTTGCATAGTCATTGTCAAAACGCCTCCTGGAAAAAGCAGGCCCGGAGCCATTTGCCTGGCTGAGACTGTAACCTCTCGCCCTACCCCCCCACCTCCCCAGGCCAGCTCTCAAAGGAAAGCCAAAATGGGCTCCTGCCACGGTGCCAGGGGGACCCCCTCTCCGTCCTTACCCTAAGACAAGCTCCTAGCAGGCCACATGCCTAGATCTACAAACTTCCCTTCCCCTCCCTGCGCCCTCCCCCACCGCTGAGGCCTGCTAAACCTGTCAGTTAAACAAAAATCTGACTTCCGTATTAGTCTGCGATGCCTTCAGCTTCCTGCCTGTTAACCCTCTCTCGGACTCCAGGCCTGGCTGGGAAAAACTAGGCCCTGAGATCGCAGAAAAGGCCTGTGGAAAAATACCAGCTGCAGCTCCCGGCAGATGCAGAAAGAGAGAGAGTGAGCCGCTGTCTCTCGCCTTTGCTTCCCGAGGAGGCGTGTACCTTCTGAATCCAGGGCACAGGCAGTGCCTCTCGGTCTGAGAAGCCATTTAAATCCAGAGGGAGAAAGAAAGATGTCAAACTCAGCGAGGGAACAAGAACCCCCATTATTAGTCAGGCCTACACCCACCGCTCAGCCCTGCCTGTCACAATCATCCCTATGTCTGTTCTAGGGGAACTGGGCCCTCGGTGGGCAGACACATCCCATGAGCTTTATAAGGATTCTTGCTTAAATTTATTTCCACAGAGAACGGCTTCTCTTCGTCCCCTAAGGCAGATGGGGAGCTATTTCACACAGCCCTACACTTGGCAGCCCCCCCACCCCCAGCTCTGGCACTGCTCCCCAGTAAAATATTAACTAGTTTTTCAGAGCTGTTATAATTTCACCCATTTCAATCATATTAGGAGGTCTTTTCCCTGTTTCCTCCCTAAAAGCTGCCTTTGTAACTGGCTTGCACCCCAAGAAAGAAAAGGCAAATCCAAAAGGATCTTAAAATCCCCATGCTCACACTCACGCTCTCTTGCTCTCTCGCTCTCGCGCTCTCTAACCAGGTGCTTAATTAACAAGATTTTTTTTAACAAGATTTTTGAAAAAGAGAGAAAAAAAAAACAGCAAGCTGGAACAACAGAAGCTAAATACACACCCGGCTTGGGAGGCTGGGAAAAGCTTCCAGAGGTGATGTCGTCATATGCCAGGAGGTAAACTGAGGCGCCACTGTCTCACCTTTCCTAAAATTAGCACTCATGGGCTTTCTAGTCCCACACTGTTGGTTCCACAAAGAAAACCTAGAGCAGATCGCCAGCTCTCCCTGCCCCCGCCCCCACATGGACAACAGATGCCCACCGCGTGTACATAAATTCTTCCTGGCTGGGAATCTTATATCAAACAGGAACAAGCCAGCAATCCAAACACTGTACTGCAGGAGCAGGGCCCAGGCTTTATGAACAGGGAGGGGATTTTGTTGTTGTTTCTGTTGTA